ATTTTTTTTTGCCCCAAAGCCCCAGTAGATAGTTGTATGCCATAGTTGCACATCCTTCCAGTTGCTGTATGTGGGACGCGGCCTCAGCATGGTCGGAGAAGTGGTGCATTGGTGCGCGCCGGGGATCTGAACCAGGGCTGCCAGTAGCGGAGTGCGCGCACTTCACCGCTAAGCCACGGGGCTGGCCCTAACTTACTACTTTTATTTAAAGTATAGTTTGAGAAAAAAATCATAATCAGCCTGAGAGCTCAAAGTTCTTCAAGGGAGACTCTAAGCATATAGTATCTAAATATCTTTTGGAGGAATTTCATAGAAAAAAGAATCCTTTGAAACTCTTGAGGCTGTGCGTGGTGTGAGTGTGGAGGGGAGAGCACAAGTGCCATTCCAGAGAGTGCTCATTGCTATTATGGAATTGTTGAGTCGCATAATGGAGAAAATATACTAAGAGCTGTAAGGATGAATGATTTGTGATAGAGCTGGGAACATCCATTAAGTATGTACCAGAACTTTCAAATCCTGTAGTTTCATCACAATAAGCAGACCCCTCTAGTGAAGCAGATGGTGCTGCCTCCTAAGGGTTAAGGCTCCAACCAAGGATACCATTGCATACTTATTAGAGTGGTAAAATTAAGAAGACTGCCAAGAGTTGTTGTGGATTTGGAGTGTTGGTAAAGATGTGGAGTAACTGGAACTCTGGTACATTACCGGTAGGAATGAAAAATGGTACAAGTACTTTGAAAAATAATGTGGCAATTTTTCATCAAGTTAAATATACACATCCATACAACTCAGCAATCTCACTCCTAGGTATTTACCCAAAAGATATAATCACACATGTCTACAAAAAGAATCATGCTCAAAAGTTCATAGCAACTTTATTCACAAAAGCCAAGTGTCAACAACTAGTGAATAAACAAATTGTAGTGAATCTATTGAACAGAATACTATTTAGCAATTAAAAGGGACAAACCACTGATACCAGAACAAATGGCTGAATCATAAAAGCATTATAATAAGTGAAAGAAGCCAGACATAAAAGACTACTTTTAAATTCTGTTTGTAGGAAATTTTAGAAAAGGCAAACTACAGTGAAAGAAAGCAGATCAATGACTTTCAAGATTAGAGGAGGGAGTATATACAAGCGTAAAAGTATATAGATGCAAAAGGCATTAGGGAACTTCTCGGGGTAATGGAAATTTTCTGTATCATGATTATGAAGGTGGTTATTGTATACCTTTGTCAAAACTCATTGAATTGTACACTTAAACTTGGTGAATTTTATTGTATGTAAATAATACCTCAAAAAAGAAAAAAAATCAGTTGGAAATCTTTGATAAGATATTCAACAAGTGAAACACCAAAAGCTTCATCTTTTGAAGCTTTTTAGCAAATTGCAATTATTAAAAGAAAAAAACTCTTACACAGGGAGACATTGCAATTAATCCATCCAAAACTAAGGAGGAACTGAACTGTTTCAACGATGAAAACTCATCTAGTATGCAAAGTTTAATTTTAAATTCCATAGTTGCACTTTGGAATAACTCTTTTGATGATACTGATTTGTAATTGGCTAAATTTATAATCTATCCTGAAATGGAATGTAATTGAGAAGGTATTTAATTTGGTATAATAATTCAATAATCAAAAATAAAAACAACTTATTTGACAAGTTTTGTAAAAATATTTGTCAGAGAAAGTTTCTTTAAATGGAATAAAAAGGATAGTACCTATGACAATATTTGGGCCAATATGTTTTACACTTCAAGAAAAAGATTAGTGTTAATATTGTCCTCCTCTCAATAGAATTTTCTGTAGGCTCAGGTGTCTCACCACTCGTAGAGTATTTTCTCAATTGAAGACATTCTGATCCACAGAAAATAATCGAATTTTTCAAATTAATGGCTTAAAATGCAACTTTGGAGATTTGGGGTAACTTTATTTAAAAAAAATAAAATAATAACCCCTACAGGAAGAGAAAAAAATCACTCTTCAGAAAGATACCAGTGACAGAGTATTAAAGACAGATATGACTAAGCAGCAGATTCTCTGATATATGTATATTTGTATGTATCAAGAAAAAATACTTTACTCTTTTGCTACTTAGAAAAGCAACATGAGATTTAAATGTGTTTTACTTGAATAAAGATGAATATATTTTATTTTTATTTCTTATATCTGATTTTATGTTTTAAATTAATTTAAAATAAAAGTATTTTATAAGTTCAGGAAATAATAACACCAATTTGAGAGTAAGTAAATACATACTTCAAAATTTAACTATGTTTTACACAATCTTTTACTTTCAATAAAATTCTGGTATGGATATAAAACATATGAACACTCAGCTATACAGAACACTGTTGAAATTGCTATACAGAATAATCTCAATAAATCACCACCACAATATTATAAAAGCATATCAGTATCATCTGTTAAAGATTAGAAAGCTGTGATTCACAGTAAACAAGTAATTTGTTCAGAGTCACAAGCCTTGGAAGTGAAAGTCTGTCTGAATTCTAAGATTGTCCATTCTATCGGGTAGAAGTGATGCTGATTTAATTTCTGATCCCTAAAAACTGCAATGCATAGAGACAGAAAGAGCAAAATTTATGTAAAATCCAACAACACTGTTTTAGCTTTTTCTTATTTGATCTCTTTTTAGAGAATCCTTAGTGTCCCTGAAATATGGCTGCTGTATAAGTTTGCAAGGTTTGGCAGTTCTCTTTCAAGCCTCTTGGGGTTATGCCAAAGGGACAGGGTCCCATGGGAATTTGGTCTGAGTTCTCATCCAAATGAACACCTGCTGTCATTGTTCCTTATCAATCCTGCAGTCAGCAATGCCAACTCTCTCTTTATGGTGGAACCCATTCAACACAAGGAAAAGGCACACCAGTGTTCCTCGCTAGGTTTTATTTTTCTCCTCTGTTTACTACATGATCCATTGCCTAAGTATCTTGGAGATAGAGCAAACATTCAGTTTATCTTTGGCTATTTGGTGTTCAATATTTCTAGGAGTTTACTCAATTATAGTCCAGTCTACTTACACGGTCTTCTTTTGATGCTCTCTCTCCTCTCCTCTCCCCTCTCCTCCTCTCCTTTTCTCTCTCCCTCTCTCTGTCTTCTTGCTTTGGAAATGAAGAGATATGTTATTGCAAAAATATATGCTTGTAAGCAAATTATACTACACAATCTATTTTTAAAAGTCTCAGATCTCTAAATTAGCAGAAACAAATAATTCAAGCAGAAGTAAATTCAATGATAGTCTCCCTATGGGTAACCAATATTGATCACCCATTCTAAGTACTTGATTCACATTCTTTTGCTTTTGTTTAACTGGTATGCTGGATGTATGCATTTAATTATAAGGTATTCCAAATTGATTTTGAATCAAATTAGGGATAAAGTCAAAATAAATGATTTTTAAAAATTAATTAATGATCATGCTGCACAATATACTATAAATAGCCCAGCTCAGATTTTTCTATAATTTCATACCACAATAAGACAACTTCACATTCTAAAATAGAACATATTTATGGCTTATTAATGACAATTTTTTTTGAAAAGAAGAAACTCTGTGGCTGAGTTTGAGAGCTATTGGACCAATAAAAGTGACCAACTTGATATTCCTACTTCTTAACAAACCAGGAAGTTGACTGTGTATATACAACAAAGTTATAGAATATCAAACCAGAGTTTTTTTATTTTTGTAACTTTTTTATAACTCTTGTTTCAATGCACACCTGTCTATATCTTAGTGTCCTTTTCACTTGTGGATTAATTCAATCACTCAATAATTTTTAGAGCATAAAACGTACAGAAAAAATTACAGTCCTGTCACAGCTCTATCTTTCAGAGAAAAGCAACTCTGTCTGCCATCTGCAGTGGGCATTGGTCCCTCTCTTGTTGTGCCTCATGATTTGTTATGCATGAGTAAGCACATTAGCCTTTTCATTTCATTCATTAGACTTTTAATCCTTGATTAGTGTTTTTGAGATCCTCTCAAACATACAACTTCTTTATTTCCTTTGTGTTTGGTTTTTCTTTTTCCTTTATCTCCACTATGAAACAAAATTAACAGTTAATCACAACAATAGCCCCATTTCTATTGAGATGGCTGGTAAATATATTAGTTTCTCATTGGAGTGATTAATCATGTGTAGATGAAGTATGGGAAAATATCTTCTTGCTTGGAATAACAGGGGCAACTGTTTAAAGCCAGTAAAAATAGTCTGTGCTTGAAAAGCTTGAATCACAATATTCCACCAATCTCACACATTCAGTGTAACTCTGTCTCATTGAAACTGTGAATGGCTTTCCTAAAAGGAAGAGACTTCCATTAGGGTTCAGAACTGGTGCATTTGGGGTCTCAGAGCCTAGTTACACTTGTCACCAATTCTCAAGAAATAAATTTTTCCCTGTTGCTTTTTTCTATTAAGCAAGATAAGATAGGTCAGAAAGTTGCCTTTGAAACGAACAGATAATCAAAGACACTTAGCAAACATTGAAGTCATGTATTATACTTAATTTTACTAGATGTGCACTCTCACAGTATCTTTTTACCCATAGTTAATCTCAGAGGACTGGAGCTTCTCCACCATATCATTTCTCCACTTAGGCCATCTTTCCAGCTCTTGTGTAACAATATTTTCAACTACTTTTTGACATTTATGTTCGTATGCACTATCTTCAACATACTGTGAGCATGAGGACAAAACCAATTATTTAAAAAGATATATAAATTAAATGGAAATCAATTCCTAGAACTGATTATTACAAGTAACCAATGGTGAAATGGTGACATAAATCACACTTGCACATAATTTATGTGGATTACACATATTTTGCCTGATTTCAGAATATCTTTCTAGCAATGATATTGCTAGGAAAAAGTTAACTTAACAATATTATTTGTTAACTTTTTTATTTTTCAATTTTTATTTCCACAAGATAATAGGATCATAAACCATCCTATTTTACTTTTCTGTTTCTCTTCTTAGGATGCCTCCATTGCACACAGATTCCACATCATGAGAGAAAAACACCCAGAGAAATTCAACAGTAGGTAAGGTAACAAATGATGAAATTATAATTATGGTTGCTGTCGATGAATTACGGCATAAAAAGAGTCACTATATGGTAAAAAACATCTCACATATATTAACTGAATAATGCTTCGTGTGTAAGTATTAAGACAAAAGTGTAAAATAATTTGGTTTTTCCTCTTAGATTTTACTGAGTTTATAATGGGAAATGCAATGGGGCCATCTCTAGTCCATTTTCATATGCTGAAAAGAAAGATTTCAAGTATAAGATGAAAATAATATTTTAGTAAGATATACTGGAAGTCTTTATATGGCTTATTATTGAGAAGTGATCATCCTAAATCCCAAGGAAAAACATGGGGCTCAGATTTGATAATGCTGAGTAACTGTATGTTACATAGGTATCATATAAGGTTTGTAATCTTTCTACCGTTAGTCCAATACCAGCCTCAACTACATGGAAAATAAACAAGGGAAATATCAATGCGTGCATAAACTATTTTTAAAGACTTTTTCTTCAAGTGGAAAAGACTGGACAACCAAAATCTATTTTGCCATTATAGCAACACGCAAACATTTTTCCCTCCAAAATGTAGAAATTGACTCTTTCTGTTATTCAGGGAAATGGGGAACGCTTTGACTTTGTATCTTCCCCTTTTCTAGAAGGATACAAGGCTATCTCTACCACACTTCCCTGGCAAAATGGGGCAGAAGAAGTGAATCTTCTTTTGCTTCAATTATAGCCAATTCTCTGTCCATTTTATGAAGTGACAAAATCGTAATCAACATTTCTGTATAGATATTTAAGTGATTTATATATTAATGTTCAAAGCCAAAGTCTCTATATTTGGCTAAGTTGGCATCTTACCATGAATGTTGAAGACTCCTTATTAAGTAACTGCCCCTAGAAATTCTTGTGTTTATTTCAATTTTGTCACACATCAGTACATTGACATAATTATCTTCCATGTAGGTTCATAATAAATAAATGTGTTAAAATGTATTTTCAAATTGTTTTAGACTTTTCTTTATAGGCTTTAGTGTTCTACTTTATATAAGAATCATCATAGTAAATAGTTTTATGATTAGTGAGGTCCTATCTGATTTTTCATTAAATTCACCTATTTAAATGTTTGAGTAAAACATAGGAAAACTTATTTCTAATACTTACCTTAGGTATTGCCTAGAGTTATTTCTTACCCTACAAATCATAAATCATGATGTTATGGTTTGCTTTTTCTCTCATAGCTCAGACAGCTATAAATGTTTGTTTTAAAGAAAATGAAAAACGTGTATATATGAATATATGTGCATATAACATCTTTAGAAGGATTCACAAAAATCTTTTAACTCTGATTGCTTCTGGAGAAGGGAATCAAGTGGTTGGGGTGGAGACCGAATTTTTATTGCACTTTTTTGTACTGTTTGAATTTGTGCCATGTGTTTTACAAAATTAAATCAAAAGTAATCTAGTTAAAATTTGCAGCTAATAAATTTTATTTATATCTAAAATAAAAAGACATTTTTATTTTACAAGATTTAGTTTCATGAAATATATGAAAATAAATTAATATAGCAATGAAATTATATTCACTTTATAGTAGATCTCAGCACTTGATGATACACCTTGAATGTCCTGGAAATGAATATATTTATTAATGTACATGAAACCATACTGTACAGTAGACTAGGCTATGCTTACCCAAGTGCCATTCTATGAAGCTTTCATGTGTTTATATTCATATATTAAAATAGGTTTCAAGCAAAAAAAAAAAAAAATACTCTTTGGAAAATGCAGCATGCAGTGTACCCCTTCAGGAGTTTCACAATGCAAAAGCCCATTAAAAGCTTGAAGAGGGGCCTGCTTGGTGGCACATGTGGCCAAGTGCGCACACTCTGCTGTGGCAGCCCGGGGTTCGCTGGTTCGCATCCTGGGTGCCAGGTGCGCACCAACGCACTGCTTGGCAAGCCATGCTGCAGGGGTGTCCCATATAAAGTGAAGAAAGATGGGCACAGATGTTAGGCCAGGGCTGATCTCCTCACAAAAATAAATAAATAAATAAATAAAAGCTTGAAGAGGGGCCAGCCCGGTGGCGCAAGCGGTTGGGTGCGCGCGCTCCGCTGCGGCGGCCCGGGGTTCGCTGGTTCGGATCCCGGGCGCGCACCGACGCACTGCTTGGCAAGCCATGCTGTGGCGGCGTCCCATATAAAGTGGAGGAAGATGGGCACAGATGTTAGCCCAGGGCCGTCTTCCCTTCCTCAGCAAAAAAAGAGGAGGATTGGCGGATGTTAGCATAGGGCTGATCTCCTCAAAAAAAAAAAAAAAAAGCTTGAAGAAATATCCAGGGGAGAAAAAGTTTAATGGTGTTTAAGGCATTTTTGTCTCAAGCTTAGCAGAGAGGCAGAGAAAAAGAGAGAGAGAGACACAGAGAGAGAGAGAGACAGAGATGGGGGGCAAGGGGGAGGGAGAAAGAATTAAAAGTATAGAGCGATGTATCAATATATTTATGTGATACTCAAATTTGACAGCCTATATAAAAGAATGCCGATATTTATGATTCTCTCTCAAGTGTCAGAGGCTAATGAATTCTGTTCTCCAGAATAATTTTAATGCTTCTTAATAAAAAAGACTTCTATTTTTCACATATACCTACTTAATATTTTATTATCAATTGCACTACTAATTTATGACATTCCTCACTGCCCAATATGTGGTTAGATGCCTTTCACAACAATGTGTTTGTATACCCAAATGTGTGTATAAGATGTAAAACTACATCTTATTGAAACTTATTTGTAAAGTTGAGGCATGAGTAAATCTTGCTTATAAACAGTTTAAAGGGTATATTTCACTTGGAATAGTAATAATATAAAAACACCTTCTAGATTGACACAGGGCACATGTTTCTATTGTGAGTTCAAAGAATCCCGGGTATATAGTAGATGTTCAATGTATTATTGGCCAACTATTTTTTAAGATAACAATCAGCCCTAAAACTACATATATTACCAAGTCAATTAGGCATGTACATTTCAATCTACACTTTTGTAGATTAAGTCTTCACTCAGAATTAGAAACATTTAGGTAATTCCTTAAACTATAATACAACATATTCAGAATATAAAAATTTTCCAATAAATTTCTATGAGGAAAACATGCCAGATGTGCGCCAGCAGTTTCATCCTTACAAGGGACAGATTTTCAGATTTCAACATTAAGATAGGTTCAGCTGTAGCACTCTTTCATATTTTCAGGAATTTGCAAATGGATTCTTTTAAGTACTCCTAATAATGGTGTTTCAGATCAGATCTCTTGTCACAATAAATCATATGCCATTAATATTATCTTCTAGCATGCTCACCTTGAAATTCATTTATATTTTAAAGAACATGATGTTTCTAACATTATCTTAAGGAAATTAATTACCAAAATATATAGTTCTGCTCTCTTTGCTTCTTATGACAGAAATTGAAAGAACTGGGAAAGGTAATGATTTTTCCGGTGCTTAAGAGAGTGCTAGTTGAGAGGTTTATATCGTATTCTTTTCCAAATTTCTATGTAAATCTGAGTTAACTGTTAAAAGAAAGTACGCTATTCAACTTTCTAAACTTTGAGATGTTCTATCAAACTGAATTTAAATAAAGTTTTTCAGTCTTTTAGACTCAAAACAAAATAATCTTTAAGTATTTATGCTACTATTATTTAAAACCATTTATTACATAATATTGGTATTTAAAATATTTAAATAATTTTACTATTACTATTTACAATCATACTTATGCTCTTATAATTTACCTGTATTATACTTCTTCTGTAATTTAGATAGAGCATTTTAAGTTCTTGCTTTTTTAAAAAAAAATGATATTAATAATTGTACATTAACACACTAGAATATGCATCCATTAAAATGATAATTATGATGGTTTATAATAATTTTGGAATAAATGCAAAGCTGTTGAATTCCATGAGTAACACCGTGCAATGTTGATAAGGACTTACAAGTAATGTGAAAAATGGAACTAGCTATAGAAAAAGTATTGGTGATATTACAAAGATTTCTTAACTAATCAGTTAAGAAATCTTTGTAATATCGTCCAAATATCCTGTGATAAAAAGGATATTTGGACGATATTACAAAGATTTCTTAACATTGTAGTCATAGCTTCTTTTTAAAGAATGAATTCAAATTCTTAATATACAACGCTTAATACCATTTGCTGACAAACACTGATGGCCACCAACTCTCCACAATGACACTATTTCATTAAGTCCACACTGATTATTTAAAAGTATCTGGTCTCTAACGCCTTGAATGAGACAAAGATCATTTTCTTAGTGCCCTTTTAGAGGTGTGTACTTCATTTCTGTACTACTTTCTGCTTCTTATGAAGAAATCTACAACTAGAAAACCGAAACTGGTGTGTGAATTTAAATAAGGCAATTTAACTCAGACTCTATGTAGTGATATCAGATATGACAGAGGGTCTTGCTTTCCAAATGTGTGACGACAAGAAACAAAATTGACAAACTGATATACCAGACTGGTGATTTGATATTACTATATTAGTAAACTTTAATTTAAAAAAGAACGTATGCTCTCAGAATTATCCAGGAAAATCATAGCATATATGAATTTAGAAAATTTTTGCCTTTGCTTTTAAAATCATACTCATTCTGTGGAAAGATTCTTGATTTTTTTTTTTTTCCACCTGACAGTAGGCTCTTTGAGATCATGGAATGAGTCTCTTTTTCTCTCTGGGCCTTTAGTATCCACTCAGTGCATGGAATGTAACGACCACTCAATAGATATTTGCTAAATTTATTCACTAAATTATGTGTTATTGAGTGGTATATTTGTCTTCCAAACCTCTTACTACTTTTATAGTTTACGCTTTTTATAGTGCAAAAAAATGTGATAGAAAAAATAGAGTTGAAATATGACTAGAATGAGTGTCAGTTCTTAGTAACTATTCTTTCAGGTACTAATAATGCCTTTTAGTTTTTTTTAGTACT